TATATATATATATATATATATATATATGTATATATATATATATTCTTATATATATATATATATATATATATATATATATATATATATATATATATATATATATATGTATATATATTCTTATATATATATATATATATATATATATATATATATATATATATATATATATATATTTCTGTGTGCATATGTGTTTGTATGTATATATTTATATAGAAGTGTGTATATATGTATATATATTTATATATGTATATATATATATATATATATATATATATATATATATATATATATATATATACATATATATATATATATATATATATATATATATATATATATATATATATATATATATATATATATATGCGTGTATATATATATTTATACACACACACAACTATATATATATATATATATATATATATATATATATATATATATATATATATATATATGTATATATAATATACACATGTACGTATAAGTATATATACATACACACACACACGTACCTATACGTAGTCCAACAGACAGCTGTGCGCACTTATGCTGACAATAATCCGTTATGATTATAATCGGACTGTGTGATTCTTATAATTCATATAGAAATTTATGTAAAGATATGTAGAAAGAATATATAAGGAAAAGGAATTATTTACTTTTCTTTTTTCTTTTTTTATACTCCCTCTCTCTCTGTCTCTCTTTTTCTTTCTTTCTCCCTCTCTCTCTCTTTCTCATACTTTCACTCTCTCTCTCTCATTCTCTCTCACACATTCATTCTCTCTCTCTCTCTCTCTCTCTCTCTCTCTCTCTCTCTCTCTCTCTCTCTCTCTCTCTCTCTCTCTCTCTCTCTCTCTCTCTCTCACTCTTACTCTTACTCTCTCTCTCTCTCGCTATCTCTCTCTCTCTCTCTCTCTCTCTCTCTCTCTCTCTCTCTCTCTCTCTCTCTCTCTCTCTCTCTCTCTCTCTCTCTCTCTCTCAAACACACACACACACACACACACACTCTCCCTTGAACCTGCCTAAGATCACTTTTTGTTACTATAGGTACCTGTAATTCGCTATTTATATGTATATACACACACACACGCACACACACACTTGTGTGTGTATCTATCTATATATATATACATATATATATATATATATATATATATATATATATATATATATATATATATATATATATATATATGTGTGTGTGTGTGTGTGTGTATATATATATGTAAACATATATGTATGTATGTATGTATGTATAAATATATATACATAGTTTGTGTGCCTGTGTGTTTAAGTATGTGTGTCTATATATACATATATATATATATATATATATATATATATATATATATATATATATATATATATATGTGTGTGTGTGTGTGTCTGTGTGCGTGTTTATATATATATATGTATATATATGTATATATATATATACATATATATGTATGTATGTATGTATGTATGTATAAATATATATACATAGTTTGTGTACCTGTGTTTTTAAGTAAATAAATAAATAAACATATATATTAATGTATACATATATGCATATATGTGTGTGTGTGTGTGTGCGAGTGTGCGTGCGTATGCGTGTGTGTGTATCTATCCATCTATATAGCTCTGAACACAAACACACACACACACATACACACACACACAGACGTATACACACACACACACACACACACACACACACACACACACATATATATATATACATGTGTGTGTGTGTGTGTGTGTGTGTATGTATGTATTCATATTGTAAGGCTTTATATCGAGGGGAAGCCCGAAATCCCGTACCCAAGCGGCGGACGGCGGTTTCGGGCTGAAGGAGTGAGGGAGGGGCCCGCTCACTTCTCCCGTGAGGACTTTATGAATGGATGAAAATCAAAGCTCCCCTGGCAGACAATTAGTAAAAGTATAAACAATGAATAAACAATGAATAAGTATAAACAATGAATCCTCGTCCTGAAGAGAAGGACTAACACCAGAAATCGGTCTTGGGTTTTAAAAATGGGATGTCTCTGGCTCGTGTTGGCTAATAAAGAGCAAACCTTTTACTGTAGAACTCAAGTAAACTTTACATAGAGTCCAGCATTTCCTAACAGGCATGTAAAAACGGTCTAAGCACAACCTTGTCTTGCCAACCCTTCGCTGCCACGGTGAAAGGGTAGACCAGGACACAAAAACAACGGGTCAGAGAGAGTAGGTGGTTTATATATACAGCATTCCTACTTCACCGTCACCAGTTATTTCAAAAGTGTTGATTAGGAGCAAATCACAGTAGATAGGTTTAGAAAAACTGATGCAAACTTAATACAGAAATACATCAAAACTGAGTAAAAGCACTGTAAATAAAGACTTTTAGAACAGAACTTATGATTTGTAACACAAAACCAGAACAATGTGAAATCATTTAACAATACATATGACTACCTTCGTGGGTCTCCATTAATTAATAACCTCAATGAATACATAGGTGACGTGGCAGGTCGTGAATATGAATCTAAAAAAATAATGAAATTATCTTAGACAAGTAAAACTTAGATGATCGGCAATTATAAAAATAAACAACACAATACCAAACCAATTTCTTTATTAATCTTAAAAAGCCGTTAATCAACACAAGTAAATATATCAAAGAAAGAAACACTTAAACTTCAATCCAAATTTAAGAAAATAACTTCATACATTTGATAAAACATCGAAGAAATATAAAAATCCCTGTCACCTGCTGGCTTATTCGCCCCTCAAGAATTCGAAGCGTTCGAAACCCAAGGAGGGAAACTCGGGATATATTAATCATAACAGTTTTATCTATACATACGTCAAAATATCATGGTTTGGCAGTAATCAAGCGTGACCGTGTTTGCGTGGGCGTGAATCTTCTCCAGCATGCTTGAGCGCCGCCCATTGGATTACCCGGTTTCGGATCAGGATTCGGGACCAGGTATCGAGGGTGTCGAGGGGCAGGTAGGGTATTAGGGTGGAGGATGGGGGGTGGGGGAGGTAGGTAAGAGGACGTAAGCTTCTGAAAAAGAAAATGAGAGAAATAAACACAGGCCAAGAGATGAAAGTGAAAGAAATGAGTGACAGATTACCGAAGGGATAAGGAAAAGGTTGGTAAACGAGGAGGAGAAAAAGAAAGGAAAAAGTTAACGTAGGATGAGAAAGGGAAAGAGGGAAATGATGAAAGATGAAGGTGAACTAATAAACTGAACGAGAAAGGAGCGAGAGTTAAAGAAAACGAGAGAAAATAGGTACAAGATTCGAAAGATAATGAATGGAGTAGATAGAGCACGGTTTTCAAAGAAAAATACACAAAGAGAGAGAGAGGGGGGAAAGGGAGAGGTAAGAAAGTGGAAAAGGTTGGAAAAGAAAGGTAAACGAAAAGGAAGTGCAGGGGAGACGAAGGGAATTAAGGTAAGGAGGTGAATAAAGAGAGGGAAGAGACAACGGTTCAGGACGTGGAAATGGTCGAGGACCTCACAACATAGATATATACATATATACATATACATATATATGTATATATGTATATACCTGTGTGTATATGTATGTATATATATTTCCTTATTTTATCTCCATTTTTTTTCTTGGTGGCCTAGGAGGACCCCATATGTGTTTGATGTATTTGCAGGACGTTGAAAATCATCCACCGCACCCACTCACCCCTACACACACACACACACACACACACACACACACGCTAAATCCGCCAAACTATTTTGCATTACTGACTATTTGATTATTTACCAACGCATTTTCCATCTACTTATTACATATGTATATATATTTTGTTTCATATATATATATATAATCCTTTAATTTTAAAGCATATATTTCTTTCTTTTTTTTTCTCCACAAGGCTTCGTGGCGCCCGTGTGTCTGCCCACTGACCCCGTGCAAAACATGGGCTTCTCTGAGCAAGATTTCCTGGGCAAGACCGCCTGGGCCGCTGGCTGGGGATCCACGGCGAGGGGTAAGGGTATTAACTAGTCTCTGATCAAAGCGTAATTAAATAATACTTAGGAAATAAATCGTTAATCAAGTTTACTGAAATTACTTCATCAAAAACTGAGTTACTGAATTCTTCACCGTATGCACTTACGGATCATTCGTTTAGTTCTGATGGTAAAGTATATCTACTGTAGTGTACTGAAGATGGAGGAAGCTAATATATTCATAATAATAATAATAATAACAATGATAATAAGAACAACAGCAACAATAGTAATGATAATGATAATAATAATGGGGTTATGACAATGTGAACAAAATTTAGAACATCAAAAGAGGAAACTGAGACGCCCTCTGGTTGACTCTTCCCAGATCCCTCGGTCTTTTGGCGCCCGGACGTCCTCCAGCAGGTGCAGCTTCCCATTCAGGAGCTGGACTTCTGCGACAGGATCCGAAGAAGCTACCCTGACCCCCGCATGGTCCTCTGCGCCGGGGGGGAGGGGAGGGACACGTGCCGAGGAGACTCTGGTGAGAACACAAATATGCATATAAGCATATATATATATATATATATATATATATATATATATATATATATATATATATATATATATATATATATATATATATATATATATATATATATATATATATGTGTGTGTATGTATGTATGTATGTCTGCATATGCATATGTATGTACTGTACATATTGTGTGCGTTTATGTTGTTATATCATGTATGTATACGCATGTATACGGGAAATCGCACTGAAGCTTGTACTACAGGGAGAGGCAAAATACTATCAAAATGAATGCCTTTATGCCTCTACGTTTCCATTCCCATTCTAAACGTGCAGCCCCGTTTCTCCTCTCCTTCCCAGGCGGCCCCCTGACCCTCGAAAACAGCAACGGCACCAGGAGCTTCGTCGTAGGGATCACCAGTTTAGGTCTGAAAGTATGCGGTTCTGCCAACACCCTCGGGATCTACACTAACGTCGCCTTCTATACGCCGTGGATTCTCGAGAACATTCAGGAATAG